TATTTGGAGGCTGGAACAGATCATAACTCTCCTGCCTTTTACCTCACCAAAAAGTAACACACTGCAACAATCCAGTCAAAATTAGTTTAAAGTGAGGATTACAGTCAGTCTTGAGGGGGAAGTTACAAAAGGAATTTCTGAGATATGTTCTGGAAGAAGGGATATTCCCTTCCAGAGAATTATGGTGATTATAGGCATGAGATGCTTCCAAGTTTCTGTTGTTTTGTGTATTACATTTTTAAAATGTTTGTTTTGTATATTTTTCAGCACTAGCAAAGTCTCTCTCTCGCTTCCTCCCTTCATTGTTGCCCAATTGGTAGAAGCTTGGATGGGGGCGGGGGGGTGGGCTATGGGTGGAGAAAGACAACTGTGAGCCTCTGCGTGTTCATTTTAGCATAGACAGTTTAAGAAAAGCCTGTGGTAGTCCACTCCTGTCTTTTTACTAGGTGTTCTTCCCAGGGACTTGGGCATCTGCTTTTGCTCTAGTCCTTAGGATCCTGCAGTTCTCTTCACCTGAACTAATCCAGGAGGTTTCATGTATTTGCCAATAGTGGTGGGACCTTAGACAGTTTTGCTTATCTAGAGTTGATCCAAATCTTTAGAGGTCCTGTTCACTCATGAGGTTATATTGATCTATCAGGTAATTCACGATAATAGTAATAACACAAAACCTAACGTTACTGTAAGTATTCTCAAGTGAGTTCATTTTTTCATCATAAAGAGTATAATTTTTGAAAGAGAGAAACATAAAAGTAAATCTGACATTAGGTACTCTGTTCATGTTCAGTCTGATGAAGGAATAATCCTGGACTGGTCACTGGAGGACCATTTGAGATTTTATTTGAACTTTACGATTATTTTGATATCTTGGGGTTTTACAAAACAAACTGAAATTTTACTTTGCCTTATTTTAGGTAGATTTATTGGTGCGATCATAGCTACATATTCAGTAGTCAAACAATACTTTTTTTTATAATGTCAGATAATCTCCTGTTCATAGTGTTAAATATCATCAAGAAATTATTTCCTCTAATTGTATTAAAGGAACTTTTTAAAGTAGGCTTGTGATAAAAGGCGGATTGTTGAATTCTTGTATTGAAGAGTCTGGTTGTTGCAGAGACTTTCTCTGTCTCAGAGTAAATTGAGAAAAGAGCTCCCTTGATGAAACATACACCCCCATATTGTACTCCCTTATATTCTCACTTTCTTAGGTTCACTTTGGAAAACTGTATCTTGTAATATGTAGATATCTTCTGAACAAGTTGAGGTTTTTAAACTTTAATGTATTTATTATAAATTGAAGCCATTTTTTGAGAGTTATAGTCTGAAATTCTGTTTCCCTGAATGCTGAAAGAGTAAAGCCTCTAAAAGGCAAGGTTTGTGTATTTTTCCGTAATTGCTAGTGTCTATCTCTTATGCCATTGAGAAGTATGCATGGTAGTTTAATACACACTGTAAAATATGTCAGATGTCTCTTCTTTAAAATAATTTCAAATTGCCTGAGTCCATTCTATGTGTCAATTGTTAAGAATTTGGCAGGCTAAGCTGATTTTTAAAAAAATCTTTCTATTCCCTCTTTCATGTTTTAAAATTAAACTTTTGAGACTATAAGAATCACAGTTGTAAGAAGCAATACATAGAGAGTGCATGTACCCTTTATCAAGTTTACCCAATGGGAACATCTCAGATATCCACAGTATAATATCACAACCAGGATATTGACATTGATGCAATCCACCATCCTCATCCAGATTTTGCAAGTATTTCTTGTACACCTGTACTCTTCTCTGTCTGTCTTAAGTTCTTTACAGTTTTATTGCTTACATGTGTATTCACTACTGTAGTCAAAGAACAAATCCATCATCACGAAGATTCCTCATGTTGCTTTGTAATAATCATACCCGCCCTCTGTTTTAAGGATTCTTTGTTTTCTTTTAAAATTCTTAGTCACTTATGGTCTTGATCTAATTATTCTTCAAATTTAAATCTGTGCTTTTACATTTAAAAAAAAATTGGTAAAAATTTTAAAAAAACATATGAAACATATTCACTGTTGTCTGGTCATGGTAGCTCACACCTTAATCCCAGCATTTTGGGAGGCTGAGGCAAGCAGATCACCTGAGGTCAGGAGTTCAAGACCAGTCTGGCCAACATGATGAAACCCCATCTCTACTAAAAATACAAAAATGAGCTGGGCATAGTGCCAGGCACCTGTAATCCTAGCTACTTGGGAGGCTGAGGCAGGAGAATTGCTTGAACTGAGGAGGTGGAGGTTGCAGTGAGTTGAGATCACTGTACTCCAGCACCACCACCCACCCACCCCAAAAAAGGTACTCACTGTTTTATCCACCCTCACATAGATCACTTCTGTGACAAGTGATGTGTAGTTTTTTTTTCCCCACACCAAGCAGTTCTCTAGGATACCAACTGGCTTTCCTACAGTTTAATTCAGTTCTGTTGTCTATCTGGTGTTAGCGTCCAGTCCCACAAGTTAAAGGCACAGTCCTAGAAACGACTCACATTTAGACACCAGTAGAAAGTCTGAGCTTACCGTTATTTCTGACTGGCTGTAAGTCAGGGGCTCCCATTGACCCCTCCTTGAGGTTTCATCATTTGCTGGATCAGCTCATAGAACTAAAGGAGGCCAGGCGTGGTGGCTCATGCCTGTAATCCCAGCACTTTGGGAGGCCAAGGTAGGCAGATCACGAGGTCAGGAGTTGTAGATCACGAGGTTAGGAGTTCCAGACCAGCCTGGCCAACATGGCAAAACTGCGTATATGCTAAAAATAAAAAAATTAGCCCGGTGTGGTGGCAGACACCTGTAATCCCAGCTACTCGGGAGGCTGAGGCAGGAGAATCACTTGAACCCAGGAGGTGGAGGTTGCAGTGAGCTGAGGTCATGCCACTGCACTTCAACCTGGGCAACAAGAGCAAGACTTTATCTCATGGGGGAGAACCTGAAGGAAACACTTCACTGGTTATGGTTACTGGTTGATTATAAAGCTGACAACTTGAGGCCATGTGTGGTGGTTCTCGCCTGTAATCCCAGCACTTTGGAAGGCTGAGGCAGGACAATCACTTGAGGCCAGGAGTTCCAGACCAGCCTGGGCAACACACGCAGATCCTGTTTCTACAAAAAATATTTTTAAAAAACCAGCCAGGCATGGTGGCCCACATGTGTAGTCCTAGCTACTGGGAAGACCGAGGCAGGAAGATCACTTGATCCCAGGAGATAGAGGCTGCGATGAGTTGTGGTCATACCACTGTACTTCAGCCTGGGCGATGGAGCAAGACTCTGCCTCAAAAAAAGAAAAGAATCATATGGTGTTCATTCATGATGGTTTATTTCACTTACCCTAATGTCCTCAAGGTCCTTTCATGTTGTAGCATGGGACAAGATTCCTCCCTTCCCTTTTAAAACTGAATAATTGTCCATTGTATATGTACCATGTTTTGTTTATCCATTTAGGGACTCTGGAGTTGCTAACCACCTCTTGGCTATTGTGAATAATACTGATAAACGTGGGTGTGCCAGTATCTCTTTGAGATTCTGCTTTTAGTTCTTTGGGGCATATACCCAGAAAGTGGAATTGTTGGATCATATGGTAGTTCTGATTTGGATTTTTTTGAGGAAACTCCCTACTATTTTCCACAGCAGCTGCATCATTTTACATTCCTACCAACAGTGTATATCCATATTTAATGATACTTGGATACACAGGTTTTGATTCATCCATTTTAGTCCTATTTATTTAATAGCTATTGTATTGACTTTTCTTTTACAATTGATAGTGAATACCTAGCCCAAATCACAGATGAAATACTTTGTATTAGAGAATGTTTGCATATCAAGGATGATCCTCAAGGCGACATGTAAATATTTTAGAGTCGGCTCTTTCCGGTGTAAGTGAGAATCCTTACCTGAACTAGTTTAAGTAAAACGAGGAATTTTATTACAAGGGAACTGGGATGTTACATTGAATCTAAGGATGGTAATGTGTCAGGGCCTTAGAAATCACTGGTTAAGAGACTTGATTCTCTCTTGTCTTTGATGGACCTTTTTCCTTCTTGTACTCTGGCTTTCATCTTGCGATGATGAAGTAGCTTCACGAATCTTGAGCCTTTCAGTTTCAGCTACCTAAACAGCAAGGACACTTAGTTGGTCCCAATCCAGAAGTCCCAGGGGGAGGGAACAATTGGCCCAGCTTGAATCCATTGCCTTTCTTTCATACCTCACTACAGTATGGTCGGGGAGAAGGAGTCAGTGCAATGACATCTGTGGGAACTACGTGGAGTGACTAGGATGCAGTTGGGTGGTCAGAAGGAAAGGGAATGAATATGAAAGAGAATGAAAAGTGTGCTTGTCCACTGTCTCTCAGCTGAGATGTCAATGAACAGTCGATTGAGGTCACACTTGGGAGATAATACTAGAGCTTGAAAAGTTCTGGGTAAGGAACACTAAGATGCCTAGAGGCAAATTTTTAAAAATTCTGACTGATTTTTTAGTATACCAAGTTCAGAGCCACAAGGAGAAATTTTAAAAAGTCATAAAAGGTAAAGATCATTCACTGGTTTCTGGAATGATCTGAATTAGGAGGTAGTTTTAAAAAAATCTTAACACTGCTATTTAGGGTAGAAAATAAAAGATTCTATCTCAGATAGTAATTAACTTTTATAATGTATTCTCAGAAGTTTACAGATATATCAGGGGTTTAATATAAAATTGATGGATGATAGCTACATAATAGGGACATTTAGAAGAAATTGAGTATAGTGTTAACCTTTTGAAGCCACAGAAGGAATTATTTCCCTATCAGGCATCAGCGATGATGATAAACCTTATAATGTATTCAGTGTTCATTGTGGCAGGCACTGTGTGAGGCATTTTTCTATGTATTATGTCATTTAACCTCCCAAACCATAGATGCTCACTATTTGCTTAACTTAAATTTTCTAAGTTGTGTTTCAACAGGTGGTTAACACTTTGCTTTTCCTTTCAGAGATGTGGTACTGGATCTTCCTCTGGGCTCTCTTCTCTTCTCTGTTTGTCCATGGTGCTGCAGGAGTGTTGATGTTTGTGATGCTGCAGAGGCATAGGCAGGGAAGAGTCATCTCCGTCGTTGCAGTCAGCATTGGATTTCTGGCTTCCGTAACTGGAGCAATGATTACCAGTAAGTTGATTTTGTTTTGTTTAAGGATGTAAGTTTGTATGCACTTGCCATTTTGGTAGCTGTATTCTTATTATATATGTAACATTAGTGAGATCTTTTATGTAGAATATTTTTCAACACTTTACACACTCCACATAGAAGGTAAAAATGAGCTGATTTATTCATCGAACAGATAGTTGTAATTCTGCTGTGTGAAGGGTCCTTTTACAAGGTTTTGTGGGAAATAGAAGAATTTGTAAAAATTGGTAAGAGGCCAATTCAACAGGAAAATTCACAGTGATTTTAGTTTCTGCTTTAAAGTCGCTCACTCTCTAGGAAAAAGGAAAGGCATAAAAATATGACAGTGATAATTATCATTAAAAAAGCAAGAGTAGCCCTGAGGTCCTTAATGTCATCTGCCTGTGACTACAAAATCAAATTGCACTTTCTTCTTATACATGCATTATTATGGCCTACTAGAAATGAGCTGTGCTAGTGTGTCCTCTAGTGCTTTGCAGGTTTCCTGCTGTGCTGCCTCATGAGCATTTTCAGACAAGTTTTCAGGTTAATTCCCTCTGGCCTTCTCTGCCTAACACTGTACTTAGGCCCCAACTCCAGCCTTGACTTCAAAAATTAGTTATGGTTATATTATCAGCAGAAGGTATCCAGGTTACCAGCAGCAAATCCATACAGGTCTACAGCAGCCTCAGTTCTTGCCTCCTCAGAAGAAAGAATTCGACTAAGGGGTATAAGACAGAAAAAGAGACCAAGGCAAGTTGCAGAGCAGGAGTGGAATTAAAAAGCTTTAAGGAAAGAAAGTACACTTGGAAGAGACCCAAGTGGGCACTTTCGAGGTCAGTTGCCCCATTTAGCCTTGGTCCTAGGACTTGCTGGCCCACTTCCAGTGTCTTGCACCCCTTTTTCCTCATTATTCCTTTAGGGTAAGCCGCCAGCATGCGTGGTGCCCTCCTTACACTTGGGAGGCGAGTATGCAGTGTGTTTAAGAAGTTGAATGCATGCTCACCTGAGGCTTTCTTCTCTGTTCCAGTGGAATGCCCCTGAAGATCATACTCCATCATTTTGTCTCTTAATGAGCATGCTCGAGCTCACTTGGCCATTTCCTGAGATTTTATTGGAAGCTACTGGTTACCAATTTCAAGTGTTTTTATTTATTGGGAGATTGCCTCTCCCTGGTGCCTGTGATCATTTCAGTGTGACAACTGCCGGACCATCACCTGATGGTCACCTGACATTCCTGCTGGGTAGGGAGAGCCCTCCTCTGCCCCACTCCTGACTACCTACCTACTCTAACAATTTCTGCAGCTGCTGGTCGTGCAGAGCTTGGGTGTGCACTCTGTTGAGACTGGAGTGTGCCACATTTGCTTGCTTGCTTAGTGTGGTTGTGCCAGAAACTGGCTGCTTCTCTGTACCGCTATTGATTCTTCAACTGCCAATGCAGAGAAGTGTCTATTGCCCTTTGCATCTGGCCTATTCCCATATGTCAGGGGCAACTCACTGCTACCACTGGGTCTGTTTTGGGACTCATTGGACAGTTTCTTCTTCCTTTCTAGTTGATTCTTGCCTCAGAGATAGGAAGGAAGCCTAATCTTTATAATACAAGTGATTCCCGTCTACACCCTTTCCAGAGTGATTGGCATCCTTTGTCTTGAGAGGAAACCCCTGCTCCCATGTCCCTGGGTATGTCCTATGGCACTAATAAAACAATCATAAAATACTTGTGGGAAATGGGGAGGAGTCTGGTTTCTTTATCCTTCAATTGCTTTTTTTTTCCCTGTGTTATCCTGTGTTGTTTTTATAGTTGCATTTGTTGTTTCTGCATTCAACCTCTAACTTTATCATATGGTACCTCATATGCTTTATCATAGACAGGGTTTTAAATAGGTACTCAGGTTTAGTTAAAGCACATGGTCTGCATAATAGGAGTAGTAGCAGATTCAGCAGGAAAAGTAGAACGGAGCCAGATTCCAGAGGGTCTTGAAAAGCTATCTGGGAAGTTTGGGCTTTTTATTCTGCAGGCCATGGAAAACAAATGGATATTTTTGAATGCAGTTGGCAAGGGACAAAGCAGTTCAGTGGGAAATTTTGTTTTCTGGTTGAATATAGAATTAATGTAAAGAAACAAGAGAAATCCCTGAAAGAGCAGCGACCTGGTCTGTCTTCATCACTGCGTGATCCCCCAAAATAAAACAGTACCTAGAACATAATTGATACTCAAAACATACAGGTGTGATGGATGGAAGGAGAGAGAGAGAGGAAGAGAGGGAGGAAAGTAAAGAAAGAAGAGGGGGTGGGGAGAGAGAATAAAGGAGAAGGAAGAGGAATTAAGAGGCATTAACTGTAATCTTAACTTGAGGCCAAGTTCTGAACTAAAGTACTGGCAGTAGGTTGGTAGGTCGGGAGGGAAGGAGTTAATGTAAGAACTATACAAAGGACAAAAATCTAAATTAGTTATTTAGTGTGTTGGCAAACAAAGAGATATGAAAGGGGCTGCTGGTAGTTTTTGAAATGGCCACTGTTGTAATTGTGGAACCATGAACAGAGGAGGAAGGAAGAAGAAACAGCTTGTTTGGAAGTTTAAATGGTGTGTGTGTGTGTGTGTGTATGTGTGTGTATATATATGTATGTATATACACACACATATATATAAGTATTTATTGGCGTACATTATTGCAAAACTTTAAAGAGAGCATGAGAAATGGAATTCTTCCATTTATCTCTGATGATATGTGTGTATATATAACCCATTTTCAGTTCAGTCAAGAATAAAATAAGCCAGTGATTTTAGAAACTGCCGTGTTATATTTTTTTAATCCTTAAAAATATAAGTCTAACACAATTTCAAGTAAACATTTGTGTCCGTATTAGCAATAAAACATTTAATTTTTTCTGGCTAATTATCTGACCTGCAAACTCGTGAATTAGGAAAACAAGCAAATATGAATAGTTATATTTATTTTCTTAATATGAGTTGTGAATGCTAGTGCACTCATAGCTGTATATTCAGTTCAGTTTTTCATTGCCAAAAAGCTATATTCAATAAGATGCTGCCTGAATATTGTTACATATTCATTATATTTTGCTATTTCATGTATTTTATTTTGAAACTAGAGTGATTTTTCATTTAATATTGTTAGTTAATACCAGAATTGGGAGAAACTGGTGTCTGTATAATGTCTAATTTTAGCTGTTTAATTTTAGCCAGTCTAAAGGTGTAAAGTAACTTCTCACTGTTGGTTTAATTTGCGTATCTGTGATTATTAATGAGTTTGAGCATCTCTTCTTATGTTTATTATGTATATTGGAGAGAGAAGATGAATAGACTGTTGGCAAACTGAGAACAAAGGGTTAAGGCGGAAGAGTGGCATACAGAGCATAACAGAAATAACTACATCTCAATATACAGAGAATTATAAACATAAGATAGTTTTATGAACAGCTATATCTAAATAGAAAATGTCAAAATTGGCATAAGGGGAATTAGAAATATGAATAGGAAAATAATTTTTATTTCCAATTGCAATATTAAAGATCCTTCTTCCAGAAAACTCCAGGCCCAAAAACGTTTACAGGAGAGTTCTATCAAACTTTGAAGAACACCTAGTTTATATTTGATTCAAGTTACTGCAGAAAAAGGAAGAGTAAAAGCTGTGCACAGTTTATTTGCAGAGGTCATTGTGATCTTGTTGCTAAACAAGATGAGGACTACACTAGAACCTTAGGAATGCTATTCTTGGAATGCAAAGATAAGTATCAGAAATGAGTGCAGCTGCATTTCAATAAAGCATTATTGATGGTGCCAAAATTTGAATTTCATATAATTTTAATGTATCATGAAATGTTATTCTCTAGATTTTAAAAAATCACTTTAAAAATTTGAATTTCATGTATTTTTCATGTATCATGAAATGCTATTCTCTAGATTTTAAAAAATCACTTAAAAATGTGAAATCTATGTAATCCCAGCACTTTGGGAGGCCGAGGCAGGTGGATCACGAGGTCAAGAGATCGAGACCATCCTGGTCAACATGGTGAAACCCCGTCTCTACTAAAAATACAAAAAATTAGCTGGGCATGGTGGTACGTGCCTGTAGTCCCAGCTACGCAGGAGGCTGAGGCAGGAGAATTGCCTGAACCCACGAGGCGGAGGTTGCGGTGAGCCGAGATGGTGCCATTGCACTCCAGCCTGGGTAACAAGAGTGAAACTGTCTTTAAAAAAAAAAAAAAAAGTGAAATCTATTCTTAGCCTGCATGCTGTACAAAATAGGTGGGCCATTATTTGTGGATTGTAGATTGCCAACCCTGATCTAACTGTGCAAACTGATAAGAACACATTAAAACTAATTCTTCCCTTAACCTTGTTCTATTTTTTTTTTTTCTACTCATAGCTCTTTGTGTCTCTTCACCCTTAACCATTATCATATGTTTGCTTTCTTTTTTCATTTTAGAGATAGGGTCTGGCTCTGCTGACCAGTCTGGAGTGCAGTGGCACACTCATACCTCATTGCACCTTTGAACTTCTGAGCTCCAGTGATCCTCCCAACTCAGCCCCCCGAGTAGCTAGGACTGCAGGCTATTATTTACTTTCTGTCAGAAAATACGCAGGGCTTTTTATTGGTATGCCCATCTGCAGGCACTTAACGTTGTGTGTCAGTTTTCTGTCTGCTGATGACTCCTATTCCCCTTCGTCCTTGTAGTTTTGTATCTTTTACTCACCTTCAGATCATCCCAGCAGTATTGCTTTCTTCACTTCATTTGGGATCTTTTCTTATTTCTACTTGATAATGTTTGCTACTGTTCATGGTGGCAGATCCACATGTGTTCTTTATTTCAAGCACCCTATTTCACTTCTCTGCATGCCTGCATATATTAGCCTCAAAATCACCATGAAAATAAAGATCATAATGTACTTTTTCAACTAGCTGTTGTTCAGCAAGATACCTTAAGGAGAGTGAAAACTAAAGAACAAACTGGGTAAGATATTTGTTAAGACAGTATATCACTTTATATAATTGTAAAGAGATTAATATCTAGACTGTATTTTTTAAAAACCCTATGACTCAAATAATAAAAAGCCCACTAGAAAAATGGATAAAAGACTTAAGCATTTCATAGAAGTAGAAACCCAAATGGCTTAATAATATGTGAAGAGAAACTCAATCACATTAATTGTCAAGGATTTGCAAATTAATCAGATAGATAATATCTCTTACCCACTAGATTGGCAAAAAAAATTAAAATAAAATACACAAAAATACCTCTGAGGATATGGAGTAACTGAAATATACATTGGTACAACTAATTTGGAAAAATAATTTGGCACTATCTAGTCAAGTTGAAAAGGCCTATACCATAGGGCTGAGCAATTCTGCTTTTACCCGGGGATCATGGAGAAACTCTTGACTGTATGTGTGTGCTGGGGGTTGTGGGCAAGAACGTTCACAGGAGCAGTGTTTGTGATTATAAAGCACTGAAAACAGAGAAATGTCATTGGCCATAGAATGGATAAATAAGTTGTGGCATATTCATACTTGGAATTTCGTATGGCAGTGAAAATGAGTAAGTTATAGCTGCATACAAAAATATAGTTCTTTCCTACTATATTCCATAATTTATTTATGATCTGCTATTTTAAATTAAGAATTTATTGAACTTGTTCATTGTATACCAATATTGTTGTTTGAAACATAGGATTGAAAGATAACCTGGCATTTAAAATGAAATATCTTTCATATCCTGACATTTAAGAAGAAAGTTTCTTGGAATTTTAGGGACCTTTTAGGCTAGTTAGGTATAGAAATGAAGTTACATTTTAAAAGTTTTATTATGTGAGTACTGTATGATTATATTCATTATGTAAAACTGAAAACATTATAAATAAAGCAAAGTCCCTTTTGACCAATACTCTCAAACTAGTGCTCTTCTCAAAAGTAATCCCTGTTTTCAATTTGGCATGTATCCAGCAGATTTTTGTTGCTCATACATACATAGATACATACATGCATGCACACACACACATTTATATGTATGTATGCACTAGTAAAGAAGACGTATGTTTTATTTTCTTCGTTACATAAATCATGTCTAAGTTATTTTTATTATAGTTCATACAGATCTATATTTTCCTTTTGAAATTGTATGGGTTCATGATATGGACCTCATATAGTTTATCTCCATCTGATGGTGGACATATGTTTTGTTTCTGTTTGATTACAAAATTGCTGTATTGATTACTATATGCATGCTTATGCATGCATATGTGTGTGTTTATATTCTAAATACTAATCATCAGTTTGTTTTAAACATAGCAAATGGTTTTCTAGTCTTTCCTTGATGCGAAACCTTTATGGATTTTACTCTTTTTTTGTGGTCTTAAGAACATAATTCGCTTACATTTTAAAGTTTAGATTTGTACTTTATTTTTAATATTTAGTTATTTAATCCATCTGAAATGTATTTTGGGGGATGGTATGAAGTAGGGACCTAAATTAATTTTTTTTGAAATGGCTACCAGTTGTTTTACTACTGTTTATTGGATGGTGAATCACTGATTGGAGTTATCTTTATCATTTACTACTACTATGATTACTAGCCAGAATTTGTTGAGTGCATACTAGGATCATCCACTATTTTAAGCACTTGACAAGTATCATCTCTTAATCTTCATGCCCACCATTTTACGGTTGAGTAAGCAAGGCATGGGAGGCTAAGTGATTGCCCAGTGTAACACAGTTGCTAAGTAGTAGAGCTTGAATTTTAATCCAGAGGTCTAGCTCCAGAACCCAGGCTCTTCACTTTATGTAAGCATGGAAAGTTTGAATTGACACATTTGTTTGCCATTTTGCAGGCAGCCTGAGCTAATAATTGCTTTGATTTTCTCATTCTTGGATCATAACTCAGTATCAGAGGGATGGAGGCCAAATTGTGGTTTTTAAAATTGAAGATAGTCATATAAATCTAGGGTAATCCAAAGAAAAATAGAGTATTACTCAGGCTTATTTTAACATAATTTCTGATAATAAAGGTAAAGGATACTTAATATTTTTAAAGAATGTCATCCAATTCTAAAATTTGTATATGTGACCAGTTACACAAGTTATCTTATTATTTGATTAAGTAAATGTTGATGCTACTAGGAGTTTTGAGATGGTTATCAGCTACTTTATTATTTTCGGAATTCTTTGTTCTCATTTTCACTTAGTATAAATATGAAGCAATAGAGTGATTTTGGGAATTATAGCCAGACTAACCTGGATTGAAATCCCAGCTCTTGCACAGCCTGGACAACAGAGTGAGATTCCGTTTTTCCTGGGGCTAGTTACCGAACGTCTCTGAACCTCTGTTTTTTTAATCTTTAAATTAGGTGATAATACTGAGGGGGTGGTATGATATTTAAATATGATAATATTTGTAAAGTTCCTAGCAAGATACATAGTATATGGTAAGTACACTCATTTCCTTTTATTTTAAAACATATATATGAAAGTTCTTGGGTTAGGTTAATAGTTTGCTTTTCCTGTTTACTTCTCTTATAGAGCAATACAGTTACTTTTATTTGGAAGATTTTGAGCAAAGTACAAAGAATTAATCTTTAGCCAATTTTTTTCTTAGTTGACAAGTAAAAATTATATCCTAATTTTCATGACTAGGTTTCAGTCTTAATTGTAATTGTCAATTCAGTGTCTTCAGGTAACTTCTCTTCCTATGTTCTTTTACTTAACCATTTTAGGATATGTAGACAGTTTTTCTAGGAAAATAGTTTTCAGACCAGCCAGGCACAGTGGCTTATGCCTGTATTCCCAGCACTTTGAGATGCTGAGGCAGGCGGCTTATGAGGTCAAGAGTTTGAGACCAGCCTGACCAAACATGGTGAAACCCCATCTCTACTAACAGTACAAACTTTAGCCAGGCATGGTGGTGCACACCTGTAAACCCAGCTACTCAGGAGGCTGAGGCAGGAGAATTGCTTGAACCTGGGAGGCAGATGTTGCAGTGAGCCGAGATCACGCCACTGCACTCAGCCTGGGCAACAGAGTGAGATTCTGTTTCAAAAAAAAAAAAAAAGTTTTCAGGCCATCTCAATCTTTGAGACATCATATTATAATGTAAATGTTATCTCCTTTATGGTTCCTAAATGTACTTTTAAAGTTAGCCACTTAGATACCACATCATTAGGGATGTTCTGTGAAGATCAGACGTTGAATCAGATGGGTACTGAGGTTCCTCATATGCTGAGATTCTCCTGTTCTTCGAAGTGTACATTACCTAAAGAACCTCCCTAGAATAGATGTCAAGTTCATTTTCCATTCTTATTAGATGTCAAGATACTAGTCTCCAAATAACTTAGAGTTGGATGCTTTATTTAAAAAGCAATGAACTATTTTATATGGTAGATTGTGAGATGGATTAGTCAGGTGTTATAGTTTACATGACATTTAAGAATTCATTTTATTCAAAAGAGATACCTTTAATATTAAAATATTTATTAATAATTTAGAAATTATATTATTTTTCTGCATTATTTATAATTATCAGTATGTTATGTTTACAAAAATGCTACAGAGGTCTAGCTAATTGAATGCCCAGATGAGAGGTTGCAATAATGAATTACTCATTTTTTATGAACACATTTACTATCAAGTATGCAGAATATACCATAAATACATATCTTTTGGTTGAATAGAAAAAGTCTGTTTTTCATATAAGTGGCTAAATGTATTATGGTAAGTTGTGACTTTCACCAATCACAGGGAAACTTTTTCATAGAAAGTGAATAAAATGAGAAAGATGACGACTTAATGTTTTGAGGAAATGAAAGGAGCTCTTAAGGTTGCAGCCATGCAGTGTGTTATAAAGTGAGTGAGTGTGTCCCTTCATTTCTCCTTAGGTGCAGCAGTAGCGGGCATTTACAGAGTAGCTGGGAAGAACATGGCCCCTTTGGAAGCGCTGGTATGGGGCGTTGGACAGACTGTATTGACATTAATCATCTCCTTTTCAAGGATCCTCGCTACACTTTGAGGTTTCTGTGAGAATGTCTTACTTCATATTAAGGAAACAGATGTACAGATTCCCTGAAAATGGCATTGTTAAAAGTGGAAATGAAGTTGTGCAAGAATGTGGACTGAGCAGGTCAAAGCATAAGGAAGACCTTAAGCTGTGTGGAAAGATTGCCCTCTGGTGTTCAAGTGATTGCACTACCGCACTGCACCTTATGTGCCTCTGTCCCAGGCAAGGTGCATTAAGACACTATGTAAAGTTACAAGAAAAAGCACCTTGTTTAGCTGCCTATCAGGTTAACATTGGTGTTGAAATCATCGTTTTTTAACAGTGTTGTGTTAAGTTACAGGGATGTTTCTAAGTATTGATATATGTGCCAAACTCTTTTTTTTTTTGTTAACATTGGTCATGTGACAATTTGCAAGTGTAGATGTAGCTGAGTGCTGTGAACATATTTGACATGAATTCAGGTAATGTACTAAGATTTTTGTTCTGTAACACTAAATCCCGTATGAGTGCTAAATACCGAATTGTTTAATATGAGAGAAATTAATTGGTTTTTAATGTTGCACATTTCTGGGATTTAGGGCTTCAATATGTTTAGGTATTATTTAATTGATGTGGAAGATAAGTCTTCTTAATGGAAGACTAGCTCAAATGTTTTAAGAACTCAGAGTGGCTCTATAGGGTGCATACTTTTCACTAACTTAAATAACAGTTTCCCTCATGCATAAATATTCTATACAAATTCAGAAACTTTAAGGGTCATACACATTGATTGTAGTTTGTGTGTCATAAAAATGTAATTTGAAAATTTTCTTAAAAATTTTGTAAGAAAAAAAGTCTGAAATGCATGTTGCATTCTTTGACCCTTCTAAAGAAAGTTTTTGCCTCGTATCTCATGGACGAAACATCTTTATAACTAGTATCTCAGTGGGATTATATTACATGTTGCATATATCTTGATTTTTGACAAAACATAAACAGTCTTTCATTCTGGAGTATTAACTGTTTTTAGAGAGTGGCCTAAATTAGGCTCTGGAAATAAAGACCTCATTTGTAGATACGTAACTAGTAAGTTATATAGGAAGAGTAATAACTGTTCTTTGGATATGTGGTATCATAATTTTGCTAAGTAAAACTGGGGAATATAGTAGGTAATTTAAAAGTTTAGCAGTTAGTCTCACCATATCAATGCAGTATTGGACGTGTATTTGAGTAATTTATTTCAGTTGTTCAGTTCTTGATTTATGATATTATGATTTAGGTTTAAGTTTACTGGAAGAATCAGTGAGGGCATATATAAAATGGAAATGTCCTTTATAAAAAACATTTTAAGAGGTTTTGGCAGTACGTAATTGTAAGAGTATAGGAAGTAGGGTTGACCTGGTCTCCCAATGAGATTTTTTTGACACCAAATACAGTTATAATTTGCTAACTCAAAGTAGGAGCCATTGCAGAGAATATGAAGTTAAGGATAATTAAAAAAAACCTGGTAGCCTTGATGTTTAATCCAATTTGCTATAAAAGTAGGCTTCTCTAATATCCCATTCGAATTTAAGAACTGTGTTACCTGCATCACTTTTTCTCTACCCAGAAGCAGAATATATCCACAACTTATCAGTGAGAAGTTGGGGAAGCAGTACTTTTACCAGTTTACCATTATGAATTGCAAAGCAGTATGTATTTGACAATAAATCATCAATTGATAGTCTCTAGAATTTTTTTAAATTACCTTTTGCAGTTGCATTGCAATTGCAAATTTGGGGGATTTACTATCACTGTGGCTTGGAAATTTGTTTTTAAAAAAAATAATAAGCAACTATGCATGGATCTTTGAAGTAAATTTTAAAATCGATTCTTTTTGTTATATACAACCCTAAAATTGCTTTCATGTGTTCTTTATATTCCTGATGTTTTTACAAATTAAATTTAGGCATAAGTTTTCCAAGGCAAGCTGATTTTTTCTTTTCTGCTAGTCCTGAATTGTGTTCTTCCTTTACTTTGGCTATTCTGTCAATAATTTAAAGCATTCATGTTCTTCTAGAGGAATTACCAATAGCATGTGGAAATTGTTTCAGATCTACAGGATGAATGCTTATTTTAACAAATGGTTATTTTATGATTTAAGAAAGTTACCATAAAGTAATATGGAGCATGATTCATAATCCAAAATTAACCAGAAAATAAATTGGATACATTAAATGTACTAATGTGTGGACCAAAGAATTAACTCTTGTTTTTACTCTAGAATGAAAGTATAATTGAATGGTTAATAATTAGTTTGTATGTAGAGTGTCCTGCAGTTATCTCATTATCCAGTTGCTTTACGTTATGAATTGTGTGCATATACTTTTAATTTTAGTGGTTATTTTTGGTTTCTTTGCTGTTTTCAGTTACTTCCATTGGGATTTTGTGCAGCATCACTCTTTTGATGTTTTGAGATGCAGTTGAATAGTGTGAATTTATGAATTGTCTTAATAGCTGTCTATATGCTGAGATTTTTTTAAAAGTTAGTAGCTTTCCTATAGACACAAGAAATGTTTAATGATATATATGTACACACATATGTATATCATTATATACGTATATAGAGTGCTGCTATATATGAATACAGTTTACTTGGAAAGCTTTTTTTTCAATGAACACTTTCATGTTCTAGTGGAAAATTTGTTCAGTGTAATGATCTTTTAAATAGGTTTGAGGATGTTTGAGAATTTTGAATTTTGGGAAAATTGTCTTCACTTAATAGAGCTGGAAACCCTTGTTTGGGACATGACAAAAGCCCTTATTGATGTATTTGGATTATACTTTGTTACAATTTATATGTGATTTAGCAGTAAATTTTCTTTGTGACAAATACAAGAAGGGAGGGAGGATCCTTTATAGTAGATACTCCTTTATTTTAAAATGTTTAATAAAATATTGCAAATAGTGAAATTAGTTCCCCAAAGAAAGAACTCATATATGCCCAAACTAATTATTATTTATCACACTGATTAAAAATACCCATAGATCTCAGCTAGTCAGAGGGCCTCAAGTAATCTACAAATAATACTTAAAACTTTAAAAGAAGAACAGGTAGTCTTTTCCATGTGACAGTTCCACGGTAATACCCTATCTTGCCTAGGATAAGCAAAGTCCTAAATGATGGCTATATTCAGGGCTTGTAGCTGAATTATTATTCTTTTAGATCTTAATGTTTACCAAACAGTGTTACAGTTTATTACCCAATATACTTTTTTTAGTATTTGTAGCATACATTTCCACTGCTCAAAAAAGTATAAGGGTTTTGTCTGTACTTTAAATGAGAGAAATAAAGAAATGAGTTGGCTTGTATATCTTGTATTTGTGATATAAGGAACGGGGATAATTTAAAATCACAGAATGCTGTGGAAAAGGTCTTTAAAGAACCTCTAATGAAGAGAGTGGGGCTGCCATGTCATGTACCCAGCTGCCACTCACACACCAAATAATTCCATTTTGTAAACACTTTTTGTGGATCCGCTGTGTAAAGTGTTGTACCAAGTATTTTCTCTAGTAAGAACAAGAATTACCAAGATGGGATTCTTGATCTTGAGTCCACCAAGAGCTAGCAAGATGATTTTAAATCCTAAAAAGTTTGGGACAACATTTTGCTTCCTGATTTTAGTTGAGAGTTAGCCTGTTTTATCCCTCCAGATTCTCAGTTTCCTGGTTCATTCACTATATAGAATTCCCATAACTGAGATATCATGGCTGTGACATAGTGAAGAGAATACTAGACTCCAAGCCAGCAGCACAGGTTGAATTAAGACTCTGTCACTTGTCAACTTTTTGACCTTGAGCAAATCATTTAACCTCTCTGAGCCTCAGTTCGTGCTCTGTAAAATGTGACTAATACCTCATGTAGTTTGTGAGGATTATGTGAGATTGTTTATGAATGGCAAAGCAATATGTATTTGACAGTAAACGATCAAAGGATAATCTCCAGAATTTTTTAAAATTATATTATATAATTGCATAACAATTGAATATGTTGTTTTGTAAAATTCAATTTTATTTCTGTATTTCCTTATATATATTTTAGGAAAGAAACTAAAAACATTCTCTTATAATCTTGCTTCATCTCCTCTTCACCTTTTCTTTTAAAAATCAGCAGATCTTTAAGATCCTTTTGTGAATTTGTGCTGGTAGAAATGGCCAGTGCAAGTGGGACTAAATTAGTTCTGTTGACCACTGGTTAAAATTAAAAAAGGGTAGAGAGGTAGTCAGCCTTTACTCCTTTACCTAATCCCACTTACTTCCCTTGGATTCATTCTGCCATTTTGGTTCATTGACTTTCTGCTATTTACAAATGATTCTTCTTGAAAAGTAAGAGCTGTATATACCCCCTCTGCCTTCTATATGTCTGTTTCTTCTACCAGCCCTGGGCATTTGGCTCTACAGTGTAGTACCAATTCTTTAGAAAATGGAAGGATGTTCAGTGTCTACCAAGTCCTTTCTTCCACGGGCCAAGGGTGCTTAAGCCCTAGATGTTATTTTATTTTTTTTAACTTTACCATTATTTTAAATTTATGTCCATCATACAGTTCAAGGAGTAACAAGATGCCTGGAGCAGTTTCTGAAATCTCAAACCACTTCACTCTTGACGCTACAGATTTTTCTCTCAGTCTCAATCAGAATCTCTGCAGTCATTATCTATTTTTAAGATGTGAGGAACGAGGAAAATTACTGAAGAAATTCTAGCAGGTTGAGATTGCAGATAAATTTGTTAACACTTGTTGGGTAACTGGGTAAATTACTATTTCTTTTAATAATTGAGGTGAAACTCTCAATGGTTAAAATGGACCAATAATTAAATGGTTTTATAATCTTTCTTAGCTTCCTGTCCTTGTTATAACATCTTGGAAGAAGACTCTTCAGGATAAAAAGGACATTATTTGATTAAAAATTATAATACTTGGAGAGGTAACACACAAAAACAACATATTTGACGAAGCACCCTACATCCTGTGAACACAGTTTCAACCCTTTTGTTAGGACTATAAACTACACTGGATGAGTATGTATCTTGCATGTTTACACATGCTGTGTTTCTTTACATGTGAGGCTTCACTGACCACTGTGTGTTCTGAAATTGTATTACGATTTTCATGTGTGTGGTAACAGCTTTGCTCTTCTCACTAAGGAGTGCTGTTCTGTGTAGGTGATACAGTGTTAGTAAGGTTGCTGAATTAGTTATCTAAAAAAGGTATCTGTGAATTGGGGGGAAATAATGCTTAATTCTGAAGTGTTTTTAGTAAATGTGGAGATATATCAGATAATAATTTACTAAATTAGTGGAAACACATTTCTGAGTGAACTGAACTATGAACTATAATCATCTCTTACCCTGAGTTTAGGGAAGCTGTTTTCACATTCTTTACATTTATTCCACATGTGTTGAACTGACATAATAACTCTTCCCTGATTTTGAGAATGGATTTAGCAGTTTTTAAAAAATCTTCCTCCTCTTTACATATAGGTTTCGTATGTTATAGTTTAAACATACGTATGGTTTGTTGGTAGAATCCAAGGAGCTGGTTTAGGAAAGAATATTCATAACACCTACAGTTATGCAGCTCTAATCTTTAAAAAGTAAATAGTTTAGGCAAGTCAGAAGGCCATGAACTTCGTACATACGTTTTTAAGATTAGGTAGTGCACCCACATGTATCTACTCTTGGTAGTAATATGACTTTCCCCCTTTTGGGAATGTATTTAAGTGGATAACTGAAACTGAAAAGCAGTTTGACACAAATACACAGGAAGAGGAATTACGGTGCATAATCAATCATCTGAGTCGTGTAACTGTAACACTTTTCTCTCAGATATAAATTGGTAATTATCAAAAATCACCACTTTAAAAATTTTATTCTGTCATTCTGAATTAAGCAATCACTTTTCTTTAGAGCCCTGTTTAAATGAATATTAGCGTAAGAGGACCACTGATGATGATGTGTCTCTTGTTTTTAAATTATTTACACATCATTGTTAAGTATCTTTGGAATGGAACATTTTAAAGTTTTCTCCATAGAAAGCAAAATAGAGGCACTTGCTGAGTAACTCATCATAAAAAATGATTTACTTTCAATAGCAGCTGTGTTGATAGTCTTAACAGTTGACACTTTGTTAGCGTTTGTGATGCAGGATGCATTTACAATGGCGGCATTTTTGAAAAGATTTGGCCCTGTCACCAATATACACATTCAGATGTGAGCTCCACACATTTAGATGAACAAATAGGAAATTCAACAGTATTTTTTTTTAGCTATCTAACTTGGTAAAATTCAAAGGGTTCTACCATAAGTATTAGCCCCTGATTCTAGTTATTCTGAGATGAGGAATCAACTTTATCTTAAAGTCAACTAGCTAAAATGTCTTTATTTAAATACAAAAATATAGTTTACCTGACAGGTATTAAAAGTCTCACTTTCAAATTGTGTTAACTCTCAGACCACTGATGAGTCATTTAGTACGTCACAGGCAGATTTTAAAAGCTAAGTGTTGCTTTAGTGCCTTGTAAGTTAAGAAACTTGTGCAAAGTGGATTTAGCAAGATTCAGGATTGGCACCAGTGAGTTGGCTAGGTACACATCACCCGTGACTGGGAATTCAGAGTGTAGGAAGCCTAACAAGTAGTGGCCGCTAACTTTATATGGTTCCATGTAAATCAGTTACTTAATCACTGACTGTGACAGATGATGACAGCTACTTTCCTTAGATTTTCATGATGTGGTATTTTTCTCTATTTATTTCTTTTTCCAAGTAAGTATGAAATGGAAAAAATGTAGTTAAGAAAATTAAATGTGGGATTTTAAAATTTAGTTTTGTTGTAAACTAGAGATTCTAGTGAACAGTGTTAGTTCTATACTGTAGTACAGGGCAGACATACTTTAACCTTTAGAAATATGTTTACCATCAGGGATTTATTTTTACTATAGAAATACTAAATGTACTGTGAAGCTTAAAGACAGAAGAAAAAATGTTGGAGGGGTAATACACAAAATCAAAGGCATATTTGGTGAAGTACCCTATGTTATGTGAACACAATTTCCCCCTTCTGTTAAGACTATAAACTATACTGTATGAGTATGTGTACTGCATGTTTACAAAAAACAGTTTAATTTTGAAGGATTATTTTAAAAACTGTTTATATATAATACCTAACAAGCTGTAAATATTGTATATTATTGATTTTTAATTTTATATAAGCAATTTTTTATTTCCCAATTCATGTACAAATCTTGTTGTGTATATAGCATAATTTCCTGGAGAACACAAATTTTGCAGTGAATTTTAAGTATTTTAATTGCAGTAAGCATCAGTTTAGCCTTAGAGATGTTGATCTTTATTTTAAATTATTTTCCACCATTCTCATTTTCTTCAAAGGGCAGCAATAAACATATGCAAGTTATTTTTAATTATAGAAAGTAGCTCTACAAAGATAAGATCTAGGTTCCAATTCACTGCTTTAAGGAAAAGATGCACAATTACTGTCATTCAGTGTCTGATCACAGGACCATTTCTGTGGTCCACATGTGGCTCTCCTCTTTGTAATATACAGGGTGAACTCTTTACTGATACACACAAAACAACTGTTAAAAGTGAATCCAGCACTTAACTGTCATTACCCAGAATTTATTGGATTAAAAATTTGTAATATACAGTATTTTAATAAAGTTTCTGTATTCAATTTCATGCACTTATATATAAATAAACCTGTCTTTGAAAGCTTTATGGGGTGTTTGACTCTTGGTGATGTATCTTTTCAGTTCATTCACTATGGACTCAAATGTCTTCTCTTGCCTTTTTGTCAGTTTTTCTGGCCCAGTTTTACCTACAGATTTAGGAGGTAGTGCTTAAAAGGTGAGAGGCATAAAGTCTAGTTAATAGATTTGCCTAGGACCAGTCCTGGGCCACATAGCATCTACTGAGTTACTGTGTAAAGAAGCATGCTATCAGTTTTAATAAAGAGCTACCATTTATTGAGTGCTGTTATCTGTTAGACGCTTCATATGCTTTCTTTAATACTTAAGATAACCCTTCAAGTGATATGTTTAATCCCCATTTTACAGATGAAGGATTTGAAGTGAAGAGAAGGTAGGAATCTTCTCAAGGTCACAGAGCTAATAATTGCCAGGCTGGGGTTTTCTTGCTCTATTACCTGTGCTTCTCCCCAACTCTGTTGTGTTGATTTCTACAGAGTATTTTAGCAGCTTTTACCTGTAATGAGATAGTAAAAACCAGATGAAATTATGTGGTTTTGAAAAATTGTCAACTCAGGATTCAAATTGTCAAATTCATGCATATTTTGAATTTTTGTTAGGGATTTATCAGAGACGTGCTACATACCCACCTAGGTTCAGCTACCATCTTGCCTGCAGAGAGATTGGAGCTGATGGAGCCAGTCACTGTAAATGTTTAAAATCTTGCTGGAATGAAAACTAGCTTCACTTTAAACATTGTGCAAGCATAATGGAGGTAAATACTTTTTCACATACACTGATATAGTCACTCCACGTAATTACTCGGTGGAAATGTATTTTCTTCTTCCTTGGTAATTTTTTAATTCATTCATAATAATCATAAAGTTATTCAATATATTGTCTCCCTGGCCATGAACCAACATCTTGGACAAAATGTAAATCTTGAGATCCCAAAAAAGTTTTCTATTTCTTGGCTCTTGAAGTAATATTTTTGCAATTAAAGAAAAGTTTCTCTGGGCATTTTATTTGCTGAGCATTCCAAGAAGACATTACATTTCAGATTTACTTAGATTTTAGATTGAATGAGTGATTGATGAGGTCTGACTCTTGCCCAGTCTGAAGTGCAGTGGTGTAATTAGCTCACTGCAGCCTCCTGGGTTCAAGTGATCCTTCCTCCTCAGCCTCCCCAGTAGCTAGGGCTACAGGTGTGCACCACCACACCTGACTAGTACATTTCAGATTTATCACCACCTACATTGACAAGACTACAGGGAAAGGTAATTAGAAGGAAGATGCTTCCTTGTAATGATGCTTTCTTCATGATAATGCTAATCTCAAGGAAGATGATTGAGTCTTACACTGAGCCTTGTGTTTACCATCGTGAATTAGTCCTAGTCAGACTCGTGGAGAAACATTTCAGATTTACTGAATAGGTCCTTACACCATCTGTGTTTTGCGGTTGAACCCTTACTATTTTGTTTTTGAGAGTGGATCATTCACTATGTTGCCCAAGTTGGTCTTGAACTCCTGGGCTAAAGCAGTCCTTCTCTTTGGCCTCCTGAGTACCTGGGATTACAGGTGTGTGCTACTATGCCCGGCTTCCAACCGTTATTAGCTCATAAAATAGTACGTAAAGCTTCTGCCTGCAGAGGGGAAAGTAAACAGGACCCACGGCACCTACTCTTTTGAGGAGTAAAAATTGGGTTTGCCTTTAGCTTCCAAATGGAAACCTAGGAGAAGAATCTATCCTGTCTGCTCTTAATTTTTGATGATTCATTGTCAGTAGACATTCTTTTGGACAATTTTATGAATACTCTTCAGGCTCAGTAGTTTCTAGGGACCGATTTGCAAAATGTAATTGCATCAGGTGGTTTTCTTGTAAAGCGAGAGTTCTGTCACTAGATGGTGCTGTGGTTCTATTTTTTTTTTCTTTTTTGCCTTGGACATTACCTATGAACTCAGTAACTGATGGTTACTTTTGGACTCGTTTCCACATGATACATTTAATGTTAATTTTTTTCCAAAATAAATGCACACAGGAAAATTAAATATGAGAAAAATGAAGGTTTCTTCATGTCATCACTAGCCAATTTAACTTTCCAAAGAATTCTTAGGATACGTTTGAGGGTTGTTTACATATTAGAAAATTACTTTATGATTTTTGTAAGTCATTAATCTGGACTTTGATTTATATATTTTTCTTAAATTCCAACTCTTAATGCAAAATGGTTTTATCTAATTTATTTATTTTTGTCTAATGTATTTTATTTATTAATTAGAGAGAGTCACACTGTGGGTCGCCCAGGCTAGCCTCCGACTCCTGGCCTCAAGCAATCCTCTTGCCTCAGCCTCTCAAATAGCTGGGATTACAGGTGCAAGCCATGGGATCTTAGTATCTAATATAGTAGTCTATGCTTTCTTAGTGACATTTAGTTTATAGTTGATCAACTTGCTGAGATAGAAGCATTACACTCACATAGTGCAGTCGGCCTTGTGACACGAGACTTGGTTTTAAATTCCTGCACTACCATTTAGTAATTGAACTTGTCCAAGTCATTTAACTGTAGCAGTTGGTTCCCACATTAGTAAAATGGAATGACATCTCGTGTTGCACGTAGTGAGTGCTTAGCAAATAATCTTTGTCCCACTGGCCTCTTTCATGTATTGTCTGCACGTAGAGGGATAATGTCCTTCCAGACTTTGCTAGAAATTTTGGTAGTAAGTTCAGTCACCTCCGTTTCAAAGACAGAGCCAGATTCTGTGTCCTGACAGAGAACAGTGCATTTTTAGGGAGGATTTGTTTTAGATTTAAACTGTCCCGTTGAACTGTGTGCTGCTTTTGGAACAAAGCCTGCTGAGGGAAATTTTAGAAACATACCTCAGTGAGAAAGAGCCTAGTTAGAAAGCAGGATGGATATACTTGCCCAGCTAGCAAATTCCTCACATTCTGTAAACCAAATATGTACAAGATGAGGAAGCTAAAGCGACCAGCGTAAATTAATCCTGAACGATGCCCGGGACTTGCCCATCAGCTGTGTTCGTAGTCATCAACCACCGCAGATCCTGTTGCTAATGGGCTTCTCTGCTTTGTTTACTATGCTACAGAGACAGACTATTTCGTTCACACTCAGAGAGGGAGGGTTGGTCTTTTCAGCACCAGAGTTTTGGTTTTAAAAGTGTGAATTTAATTTTACATAGTGTGGCCTGCAGCAGCCATAGAGGCAGACAAACATTCCCAGGTGCTCAGGGTCTTCAATCAGCACTGAACTTCAGACACCAGATGGCTCACGCCTGTAATCTCAGCACTTGGGAGGCCAAGGCTGTTGGATCACTTGAAGTCAGGAGTTCGAGACCAGCCTAGCCAACATGGTGAACCACCCCCCCCGCCCTGCCACCCACCACCACCACCACCACCACCTCTACTAAAAATAAAAAAAATTAGCTGGCTGTGGTGGCATGCGTCTGTAATCCTAGCTACTTGGGAGGGTGAGGTGGGAGAACTGCTTGAACCTGGGAGGTGGAGGTTGCAGTGAGCAGAGACGGCACCACTGCACTCCAGCCTGGGTGATACAGAGAGACTCTGTCTGAAAAATAAATAAATAAATATATAAATAGGACCAAACAGATTTTCATAAAACTACACTTGGCTTACTTTTTGTGGGAATTGGTATTATGGGTGATTCCAAAATGTGTTAAAAGAAGATGCTTGTGTTATCTCTGATGTGGAAAATAGGAGAAGGTACAGAGCTGAGTGGGGGATGTAGGGTTGAGGAAACTACAATTTTGAGAGACTCGTGACTTCTTTTTTTTTTAAACTTTAAATTCCAGGATACATGTGCAGAATGTGCAGGTTTGTTACATGTGTCATGGTGATTTGCTGCACTTATTGACCCAACCTCTAGATTCCCTTCCCCACCCCCCACTTCCCAACAGACTGTGGTGTGTGACGTTCCCCTCTCTGTGTCCGTATGTTTCAACTCCCACTTAGGAGTGAGAACATGCAGTGTTTGGATTTCTGTTCTTTGCTGACAATGATGGCTTCCAGCTTCATCCATGTCCCTGCAAAGGACAGGAACTCATCCTTTTTTATGGCTGCATAGTATTCCATGGTGTGTATGTGCCACATTTTCTTTATCCAGTCTATCATCAATGGGCATTTGGGTTGGTTCCCTGTCTTTTCTATTGTGAACAGTGCTGCAATAAACATACGTGTGCATGTGTTTTTATAGAATGATTTATAGTCGTTTGGGTATATACCCAGTAATGGGATTGCTGGGTCAAATGATATTTCTGGATCTAGATCCTTGAGGAATCACCACACTGTCTTCCACAATGGTGGAACTAATTTACATTCCCATCAACAGTGTAAAAGCGTTCCCATTTCTCAAGACTCGTCACTTTTGAAAGCCCTGTGCCTGTTAGCTGAGAGGGGATGATAGGAGACCTGTGTCTTCTCCCAGGTTCTGCCCTTTGCACCCATGAGACCTTATATTAGGCTTAATCTCTCTATGCGAATTTCTTCTTCAATAAACCTGAAAACATGTCAACTCCTTTTGCTTTCTCATAAATGCAAGTTGAAACTTTTAACAGGACAGCATCAACATAGGCCTGTTATTCTCAAACTTTCCTAGGCCAGGATCAGTTTGGCACTAAGCATTTGACACTTAACATGTCCATTGTAGTTCTGAGCTTTATTTGAAACTTGTCTAACTTGCAGGGGTTTTTTGCAAGATGAACGAGAAGAGATGAAAATTTCAAATCAAACTCTAACTTCTGTTTTTTTGTCCCTTTTTTGCAATTCAACAAGGCAGAGGTATTAGTCCCATTTTGCTGACGCAGAAACTGAGGCATACAGGTTACATGTCTTGGCCAACATCATACACAAACATATGTGTTCATATATGCACATACAAGAATATATACATACACAATGTCTTGATCTAAATTCAGCTTTTCATATAACTTCTGTGTTTTTTAAAAATTGTTGTTTTGTTTTTTAGACAGAGTTTAGCTCGTTTTTTAGACAGGCTGGAGTGCAATGGTGGGATCTTGGCTCACTGCAACCTCCGCCTCCCAGCTTCAAGTTATTCTCCTGCCTCAGCCTCCCAAGTAGCTGGGATTACAGGCACCCGCCACCAAGTCTGGCTAATTTTTGTGTTTGTAGTAGAGATGGGGTTTCACCATGTTGGCCAGGCTAGTCTCAAATTCTTGACCTCAGGTGATCCACCCACCTTGGCCTCCCAAAGTGCTGAGATTATAGGGGTGAGCCATGGTGCCTGGCCTGTTTTTTATTTTTTACAAGTGCCTAGAGGATATATGTAAAGCCTACATCACTGATAGGGTAATCGTTGTAATAATGTTGGAATTCAATTTTTACTTTCAAACCATTTTAACATCTATAATGTCATTTTGTCATCACAATCTGTTTTATTTGAGGGAAAGGTACATGCTTCTAATAAATGAAGAAAGCCATTTACTTGGTTAAACCAAGGTCTCATGAGACCTGGACTGCTGTTTGAACAGATGTGCATGTTAAGAGCAGAACACAGGTGGCCATAGCAGTCTAATTGCCTGGACTCAGGTAATCCCCAGAGTCCCGAAGCAATCTCCTTGGAAACTGGTCTCTTCCTGGGTAACCCATGACTAGCTCATTCTCCTGCCACAATGCTTCAGTTTATGACTTAGGAGGCCCAAATGTTCACATGAGATCTTACTGAGGAGTTAAGTCCCAATTTCCTCTATCAGGAATATCTTAATTGTGATGGAGCTTTTCAGTCATAAGAGTGACACACCCAGGTCAGTAGAATGCTCGTAGAATAGAACTCCCACAATGCTCCATTAACATTCAGCTTAACTAAGCAGACTATTTCTTCACAAATAAAGCAGCATGCTTCTCAGACTCTTGTTTCACCTTAACTAGTTCAATGCACACCACCAATTATCTGGACAGGAAAAGTTGCCAAGTCAAAGCAAACTATGAAGGCCCGCTGGATACTTTGAGTCCACAAAGGAAGAAAATAAAGAGGACTTTCAGGATGGTTGACATGGGACGCCGTGTTTTCGAGACCTGTGTGGACTGGAGCCTGAAGCATATCAGGAGCAGTTTCGTTGGTCGTCAGGGAAAACAGTGAACGGTGTGCCGATGGACCTCAGAATCAGGAGTAAGTCACCCCCGCCCGTGACATCGGGAATCTATTTGTGTGATATTAGAGACTGTATTGGGGAAACTATTTGAAAAGCTTGAACCAAAATTTAGATTACAGCCGTGTCCATAAATAAAGACCAGCTCAACCTTGTGTCACCTACATAATTGAAGAGACAAAAGGTAGAGATAAATTGGTGAATATCCTCCAAATAATTTGTGTTTGATGTTGAAACTTGTATCACTTTACGAGTGCCACTTTCTATTCTAAAGCATTTCTATCTCAAATGTATGCAAATTTGTATTTACCATCTCTGAAAGACAGCAGAGGAGGCCAAGTGTCAAAGGATTTCTCCACATGTGGTGTAGGTGGAGAATTAATGTAGATTGTGTGTGTGTGCATGTGTGTGTGCGTGCGCGCACGTGTGTGCATATGTGTGTGTGTGCGCGTGCATGTGTGTGCGTGTGTGTGTGTGTGTGTTTAAAGAACTGTCCTAAAAGTTAACAAAATAAGCCCTTGAAATAGGTTCTGTCATGAAAGCCGGCTTTTTCATAAGAGAAAATGAGGACAATCAGGTTGAAAATAACTAAGAATTGGTTTATTCTTACGTATCCATTCAGCATTCTTAATTCTGGAAAACATCAGACATCAACTTGAGAATTGTCTCAAATCATTTGCTAGGATTCCAGCTTTGTGATGCACTTTTCAAAGAATCCTATGGTTATCTTGGCTGTTACTAATCCAGCCTGGTACTAGCACCAGCTTTTGCTCAAAACTATCAAAAACTCTAGCTTTTAATACAGTAATAAATTTGGTATTTATTTACAGTAATAAAATTGGTATCTCTCCAATTTCCCGCTCTTCCCACTTTGTTAGCCACAGTGACAAATGGGTCAGACTAAGTGTAAATAGCATTTATTAAGTGTATTCTAAGGCAGGGTTCCCCAGTGTTTTTGGCAGCAGAGATTGGTTTCGCAGAAGACAATTTTTCCGCAGACAGAGCTGGGAGTGGTTTCGAGATAAAACGCTTCTGTCTCAGATCATCAGGCATTAGATTCTCATAAGGAGCACACGATCTACACGCCTCACCTGCGCAGTTCACAATAGGGTTTGTGCTCCTATGAGAATCTAATGCCCCGCTGAGCTGAGACAAGGTGGAGCTCAGGTGGTAATGCTTGCAGGCCTGCCACTCACCTCCTGCTGGGCGGCCTGGTTCTTAACAGGCAACAGACCAGTACCTGTCTGCAGCCTAGGGGCTGGGGACCCCTGTTCTAAAGAACACTAACTGGGAGAGGCTCTTAAGAGAAAGAATTCCCTTGCCTTCTATATTCCTGTCTTAGAGATTCCCGATTCCCACGTACATATTGAAGACTGTGGAAAGCTCTCAGTTATAAACCTGTTTGGCTTTGTTTAATTTCCATAAATACTCTTTTAAAACATCAATAGGAGGAATGTCCGTAGTTGATTCTGTGGTCTTCCAGGAAGCATTTGCAAGCATATTTTTAAAGTTCATCCTAATCCCCATCCCAAAGGTCTCTGGCCCATCACACTACACCTGAACTGGATTTTGACATCTACTTTTTTTTGTTTTTTGAGACAGAATCTCACTCCGTTGCCCAGGCTGGGGTGCAGTGGTGTGATCTCAGCTCACTGCAACCTCTGCCCCTTGGGTTCAGCGATTTTTCTGTCTCAGCCTCCCGAGTAGCTGGGACTACAGACATATTCCAACACGCCCAGCAGATTTTTGTATTTTTAGTAGACGCGGGGTTTTACCATGCTGGCCAGGCTGGTCTCGAACTCCTGACCTCAGGTAATCCACCCGCCTCGACCTCCTAAAGTGCTGGAATTACAGGCGTGAGCCACAACGCCCAGCCAACATCTAAGTTTTTTGCCTAAGTTTCTAATCCCATTGCTCAGTGTTGCTTCTCATTAGCCTGTCAATATTTACTGACCTGATTTCTCATCCTCTGCCTGGCCCCTGGGCTCCAATACCTTCTCCACCCTATGAAGTCATGTTTCACAAACATCTCCCTGGAATTTCCTAACTTGGATATCCTTCTGGGGCTTCCCAAACCCAAACCCATGGCTGGCACTCACTACCCATGGCCCAGGTAGTCTATGAATGTGGGACCCTCATATAAAACCCAAGTTTGCAACTGGCAAATGTCAAATGAGAGGTCTGGACCAGATGTCACAGGGTTCCACGAAAGGGAGCTGCCACAGGGGTCTGGGGAGATCAGGGACAGCTTCACAGATGACTTGGCAGTGGGGCAGACTTGAAGCATGAGTGGCAGAAGTGGTGGCTTATCCTGAAGAGGGAACATCCAGATGTGGATACTTGGGTGAAAGAGCACCAGAAAATGACACATTGGGGGTTACAGTGTACGGAGGGAGTCACGGACAAGTGAGTCCACAGTGGGAAGCTGTGGAAGCCAGGACTGAGAGGTAAACAGGTGCCAGCCCAGAGCCCTGACTGCCGGGAGAATGGGCTGGAATTGTACCTCATAGGCAGTTGAAACTTTTTGAAAAAGAAAAGTGTACCTCCATCCGGGATTAGAGGCCAGGCAAGGGATGGAGTAGAGTTGTTCACTCTAACGTCATCTCAGCGTCTGCTTTTTAGATACAGGGGGCAAGAATGACGGCTTCCCGGTCAGAATCTTCTATTGAATTCCACCTTTGCCACTTATGAGCTGAATCGTCTTAGGAACAACTTCATCTCATTGAGTCTCAGTTTCCTCATCGAAGTGATTTCAAAGCTACCTCATCAGATTGTTGTGAGGCTTAAAGCTTGTGTAGTAACGTGGTGCTGGAACAGAGCCTGTCTACAGACATACTTAAGGAAGTGGTGCGCTAGGGGACTGTTCTAATCGACTTTGTTCCCCTCGACACTGGCAGGCATGCTGTCTGCTCAAAGCCTGCCTTTTCTGGAATCCCTGAACCTCGCAGTCCTGCTCGCCTACAGTAGAGAGGATGGTATTGCAAAAGTCTTTGTCCTTTTAAAATTTCCATTAATGTTTTTCAGGACAGCGTCTCCCTCTGTCATCCAGGCTGGAGTGCAGCGATACAGTCGTGGCTCATTGCAGTCTTGACCTCCAGGGCTCAGGTGATCTTCCTGCCTCAGCCTCCAGAGTAGCTGGGACTACAGGTGCACACCACCATGCCTGTCCAATTTTTAAATTTTTTGTAGAGACAGGGTCTCATTCTGTTGCTCAAGCTGGTCTCAAACTCCTGTGTTCAAGCGATTGTTCTGCCTCAGCCTCCCAAAGTGCTGGGATCACAGGTGTGAGCCACCAGGCCCGGCCCATTTCCCCTTCTTAATCTGAACTACTGGTGGCTTGTTTTGAGACTCTCATCAGCACATTTTCTTCATTAGCATTAAGGTTAGCTGCCATCAGCAGGCAAAAGCAGCCACCTGGGCTGGCTCGAGTATGACTTCTTGAAACCCAATCTCCCCAATTACCTCTTGTGCAAAAAAGCGGGTCAGAAGGAGGTGAAACCAATTGACCTCAACCTGGCAGGTTTTGCCTAGAGCCTAAAACAAAAATTCCCTTTGTAGCTTCTTGTTTTCTTATTTTTAAAGTTCATTAACTGTGGGAGAGAATGCCGGATGGGAATTCTCTGTAATGTTTCTTGTCTGGGCACAAGTTGAGGCCCAAGGCATTGCAGATAAATAAAAGTAAACTCTTAGGTACTGAGAGTTTGAAACTACAAGACACTTAGCAAGTAGTTATTACAGGCCAAACATTTGTTTATTGTCTATTATTTATATTCTTACCCTATCTCTTGTATAAAGTTAATTTTTACCACATGGCCCCTGCCACGCCCACCCCAGCCTCTCTCTGGACTGAAGGCACTGTTTTGCTTTCTTTTCATTGGTGGCTCCTCCATCACATGTCCAGGGGGGTTCTGGCCGCTGAACCTACTCCAGGACCTTCACCTTCCCCAGCACCACACCCAGCATGGCAGCCTTCTGTAGGCGAGGCTACACCTGGGCTGGGTCCCTGGGAAAGGGTTGAGTAGGTCCTGAGTCATGAGGGAAGATGCCAATGGAGAAAGAAGGGAAGGGAGAGAAGAGAAGGAGAGATCGAATGTTGGGGTGAAGTCTCAAAGCAGAGAAGAGGGGAGGGGAGGAAATAGCCCCAAGATGGGGTAGAAAAGGCTGGCCGCCATCTGACATCTATGCAATGACATGTTCCGCTGACATGAAGAAAAGGGGATGAGACTGAGTGTGGCTGAGGACAGGTAAGTGGTATTGATACAATACCAATATTTCATCATTACAAAATGACTAACGCAGTCACACACACCCCACACACTCACAGCAGAGAGCAGTGCTGCCCCCTGCATTTGCCCCAGTGAGAGAGCTGGGGACAGGACACGCTCCCGCTCTTGGTTTAGAGATTTGCTGTCGGTTCCAGATGTACCTGTTGCTAATGCTTTCCCCCCTCCCCATGAGGACTTGGGTAACTTTCATAAAGAACATTTCTAGTCCTATATTTTAATTCTGATTTTTCCCAGAAGCCCAATTGGGCTGCGATATGTAAAGGCTGGATTTTACCCCTGGAACTTCCTCCTGGTCATCTGCACTTGCAATGAAATCTCAGCTCCTTCACACCAAATTGATACTTTCAGACAGGGATTGCCTTCCTGGATTTATAGAGATGTGTCTAGAGATGGTAGGTCAAGAAGCAAACTACAAATATCTAGATCAACAAATAATACACGGAGCAAATAGTTTGTTCTCATACATTGCTGGGAAGGTTCTCATGAATTATCTCTGCTACGAGTAAAACATTTTTCTTTGTTGTATTAAAAACATTAAATAGTTTACCCTGCACCAGGACTTTTGGCTACACTATAACCATATTTTATAAACTGTAGATTAGATAGCAGTATTGTCTCAGGGCTAAGTTCCCTGAATTTGATAACTATACTGTGGTTATGTAAGAGGATACCCTTGTTCTCAGGCAAACTCTGGCATATTCAGCAGTGAAGAAGAATGTGTATGCAATTTACTC